ACCCAGGGGGACAGCTTGAGGCTCTGTCTCAAAAAAAAAAAAAAAAAATAGAAAACACACAAACAAGAATACAGGACAGAGTGTATATATGACCTGCAAAGGCTTAACATATTTACAGAAAAGTTGTTGACTTCAGATAAACAGCACCACATACATCTTAAATGTTTAATGACTCTCTTGATCCAGTCAAGTATTTATTGAGCACCTGCTTTGTGTCAACTATTATCTCAGGCACTGAAAATGTATCGGTGAAAAACTTTTCACATTTTAACTTAATAAAAGGTTCTCAAAGTGACAACTCTAAAATGGGAAAACCAGGCTGGGCATGGTGGTTCAGGCCAGTAATCCTACCACTCTGGGAGGCCGAAGCAGGTCAGAGCTCAGGAATTCAAGACCAGCCTGAGCAAGAGTAAGAACCCATTGCTGCTAAAAATACAAAAATGGACATTGTGGTTCACATCTATAGTCCCAGCCACTCAGGAGGCTAAGGCAAGAGGATCACTCGAACCCAGAGTTTGAGGTTGCTGTGAACTATGACACTGTGACACTCTACCCAGGGCAACAGAGTAAGACTCTGTTTTAATAAATAAATAAATAAAACCAATGATCAATCCAAGAAGAAGTGGTTGCAAGGCCCTTTGTAGGCAGATATCCCTACCTACATAGCTTCTTTAGGACCAAAGTTGGTTGTCTGCCTCTCCAACCCAGAGACTAACAAGGGTTAAAGGCATATTGTAGAGTGGAAGGGAGCACTGGAAAATGGCATGTTAAACACAGACATCCCCAAAATGGACTACATAGGAGTTGACCAATGGACCCAATGGTTATAGGTGCATACTCTTAAAATATGATCAAAGAATTTTAATCTGTTAAGAGTTCATTTGCTATGTACTTATAAGTTGATATTAGTAAATATATATATATACATATATATAAATTTTTTTTTTTGAGACAGTCTTGCTTTGTCGCCCTTGGAAGAGTGCCCTGGCATCACAGCTCACAGCAACCTCAAACTCTCAGGCTCAAGTGATTCTCAGCCTCCTGAGTAGCTGAGACTATAGGCACCTATCCCAATGCCCACCTATTTTTAGAGACAAGGTCTTGCTCTTGCTCAGGCTAGTCTCTAACCCATGAGCTCAGGCAATCCATTCACCTTGGCCTCCCAGAGTGCTAGGATTACAGTCATGAGCCACCACATCCGGCCCCAGTAAATGTATTTCTGAAGTACAATTAAAGCTATACAAATGATGATAATTGAGAGTGACTTCCTTCAAACAAGTAGATACTCATTAGGCTAGTGTCACCTTCTTTTGGTATCATGGTTAAGGAGTTACTTTCATTGAAATCTGCCCAAACTGGGTACAATCAAAATACACTGTACAATTCTCATGAAGTAATGTTTAAAATCTTCTATGTTGAAATATGGTCCTACACCAACGACTTGGGAAATCAGTAATAAAAATAAGTAGATGTTTATTTTTCAACCAATCTCTTTAGCTAACCAACTAAATCTCTCTTGTTCATCCATGATCCATAAATCATGTCAATAAAGTCAAAAATTAGTGGTGACTATACTAAAGAGTCCTTTCTCCACTCAAAATTCAGTCTGTTCCAGTTCCAAAAGCTTCTGATGTTTTCTATAAAGAAAAGCATTGCACTGAACAATTTGTTTAGATTCACACCACAGATTTATACCATGCTTTTTTTTGTCTTTGACTGATGTGCATGAGTGTGAATTTTAAAATGTCTAGGATAAATAAATGATCGTTCACAAGTATTTAATAAACAAAAACCCTCTGCACCCTCCTACTAAATAACAGCCTTACCAGCAACCCTTTCCAGACATGAAACTATTATGAAACAAGATATCACGTGCCAAAGGTGTACTGAGTAAGGAAGGTTTCACTCACACCCAAATGCCCTGATAGTGATAATCCTACGTGAGAAAAGACCAGTTTCTCCACATACCACAAACAGTATCTTAAAGTGCGTGGTCATTCAGGAACTGAAGTCCCAACAGGCTAAGCAGACTACAACAAAATTATTCCAGTCGACTCCTCATACCTAAAAACAAACCTGGCCTCCTGCTCCAGGAAGACGGGTATACCAAAACATCCCGTAATAAAAACTGTTGTGACGACGTCCTTGCTCAGGGGAACTAGGGGTTTCCTACTTCACTAAGTGCCCAGGCCCCACAATGGGCGAACCAAGGTCTCTGTCCTCGAGCGGCTCAGGCAAGGGGAGGACGCGAACAAGATTCTAAAGCGCTTAAGGGCATGAGAGATTCTAACAGAGAATTGAGGAGCCAGGAGAAGAAAAATTCTGCTAAGGGTGGGACTGCAGGAGTAGGGTGGAATTGCGGGAGCAGGCTGGAACCGGGAAGAAAGAGTCGAGGAAGGTGTCCCAGAGGTCACTCTACCTAGACCCTCGGAAGAGAAGGGGAGAAAGAATCCCCTGAAAAGGCTACGGAAAGTGGCGGAGAAAGGCAGAAGTTAACCCATTCGGTGCCACCCGCTCCCGTGTCCCGAGACGCCCCCAACCCTGCCTCCCCGGCGGGGGCCTCTGTGGCTGGGGATAGGATGGGGGTCGGTGAAACTCCCATCTCCGGGCCGAAGAAGCAGGGGACTCGAACGTCCCCCACTTGCTCAGCGAGGTCAGTATAAGGGCGCCAGGAGCCCCACCCAGCCCTCCAGGAGCCGGCGATGCTGCGCTCCATGCCCGCCACCGCACCGCGGACAGTTCCCCACCGAACGCCGACACTCACTTTCTCGTGAAAGATGGACTCCATGTTTATTTGTCTGGAGCCAACGGCCCCCCACGAACTACCCCCTCCAGCCCCGCCCCCAAGCCCTACTCCCCCGCCCACCCCATCCCACCCCGCCCCGCCCCTGCCCACGTGCCTCGCACAGACCAATCACCCCCGAGGATATGAATCATGTGTAGCGAAGAGCGCGTGAACGCCGGGCAGTAAACGCAGGGACACGTGACGTTGGTAGCTTGTTATCTGCGATCTGCAGGGTGCTTCAGCGCCGCCTGCTGCCTGGAGGATCTCTGCTTCCAACGGTTTGTATGGATTCTTAGGTTTCTAGAAGTCTGGACCACCCGTCGAGTTCAATGTTTCCTGGCTTCGTATTTTCTACTTATTATATCTGTATATGATTACTTAATATCTTTCTCCGTCCTCACTGAAATCCTCAGTAAGAAAAAGGCGTCCATTGTATTCTCCCAATTACTTAGCACTTGTGTAAAAAATGATAGCTAATATTTTATATGTCTTACTACAGGCTAGGTACTTTTGTAAGTGCTTTGCATATAGTAACGAATTTAATAACAGCAACCTTTGATGCAGGTGTGGATATTAATCCTACCATACACCCGAGGATACTGAGGCTCAGAGAGGTTTAGAACAGCACAGCATTGAACAAGTTGCCTTGCCAGGATTCAAATCCAGGTTGTTTCTTACTAGTGTAAGCGTTCAGTCCCTTAATAGCAAGTTGGGAGGAGTAAAGTGGGAGGGAGAGGAGATAGTAAGGGGCAGATCTTGCACCTTGAAACTAGAATAAGATGTACTTTTTAAAGGCAGCAGGTAAAATGATTTTAAAAGAAGAGACATGGTCAGATTCCCATCTTACATCGCCATAGCTGTGGAATAGACCATTTTGAGAGTTAATTAGGAAGTAGAGAGATTTAAGAGGATTCCAGAATGAGGGATATAAATGGTAGGGATTATGATGCCTGGTTTCTGCCCTAGGCAGCCACTGTGACAGGAACGGTGTTCATTGAGATTGAAAACACTAGAGGAGGAACAAGGTTTGGGGGAGAAAAGACAACAAAGAGTTAACCTTTTGGAGATACTGAGTTTGAGATACTTGTGAGACATTCAGGTAATTATGGTGAGTAATGGTTGGATATTAGGTTTGGAGTTCAGGAGGCAGGTTTGAGCTGTAGAATGGGGAGTTGTTGGCATCAAAAGGTAACTAAAATCAGAGGAATACGTAAAGTCATCTAAGGGAAAAGAGAGAGACTGAGGATTCAGAGCTGAGGCCCAGTGGTAGAGGAACAGCAGGAGAGCCTGCTAGTGCAGGAGCCCTGGGAAGGCAAGATTTCAAGGAGCAGTCAGTTTCAGCTGCTGCCAAGAACATGAGGATTTACAAGGGTCCATGTGCTGGTGTTGCTATGGAGACCAGTTAGGAGGAGCAGAAGGGGCAGTGGGAGGCAGGAGAATGGAGACTGCCATTGTGGACCAGGTGGATTCAGTTACCATTTTTCAACATCTTTTTGTGCACAGTTCACAGTCCCGTATTGAAGAAAGTCCATGTTCTTAATATAGAGAAATTTCATCAAGTTAATAAAAATTGCAAACCATTTTTTTTGTTTCTTTGTTTTTTTTTTTTTTCAGTTGTAGTTGCTATCTTTCAAATGAATTAATGAAGCCAGGTGTCTTAGTCCATTCAGGGTACTGTAATGAAATACCTCAGTCTGAGGATGGCAGTCCCCAGATTACAAATGAGATAGATTTTTGTAGGCTTCTTCTTAAGTTGAATTTGTATGTAAGTTGGCACAGGTACATTTACCCATTACCTGTAATAACTTCATTAGTAAGTGTGAATCATACATCAGTCAGATGTTTGTAACTTGGGGATTCCCTATAACTTATACATAGAAATTTGTTCTAGAAGCTGGAAAGTCCGAGATCAAGGCTCCAGCAGATTTAGTGGCTGGGGATGGCCTGTTCCTTGTAGATGGCACCTTCTTTGTGACCTCACATGGTAGCGATACCAGAATTTCACTCTTCAGTAAGTTCTTGGTTGTGGTGATTCAAAGATTGAATCCACAGATCACAGATAAGTGGTAAGACAGGATTTATTTACAGAAAAGAATACAGAAGTGCCAGAGCTCCTGGCAGAGAGAAAACCCAAGTCAGGAGAGACAAGCTGTCTCTCTGTCTGTCTGACTCTAGGCTCTTTGTCTAAGGGCATAATATAGTCACATGGGGCCCTTGGTAGTTAAATTTAGCGTGTCTGGGACATCATGTTTGGAACATGTCTGGGTTGTAAGTGAATGGCTACAATCCCTTTCATTCCCAGGCCTAGGAAAAGGGGCCCCCTGCCCACCCTCCAGCCCACTGGTTCTGCTGCTTGCTGCCACCGCACCAACATCGCCAAGGGGGAGGCAGCTGGTCTGCACCCCCCAGCTCCACAACCTGGCTGGGATGCCACTTGTCCTGGATCAACTGTCCCTCTCTGAGTAGAAACTCTAACTGCTGTTAGGGAAAAGGGACAAAGACTCGATCTAACTGTTTCCCGCTGAGTCAGGCAATGTTAGGAGGGGGCAGTTAGAGTTTCTCTGGAGGGAGAGTGATCCAGGGGTCCACGATAGAATCAGGTCTTGGATTGGAACCATCTTTATTGTGTGTGGCTTGATGACATTTCTGGAAGATGCAAATCTGATTAGCACATTAAAAGGCAAGGGTAGAGCAGTGAGAGGAGGGGGGTAATTACAGTGTCAAGTTAGAAGAACAAAGTCAGTGATGTTTAAAAGAAAACTATAATAACACTTTTCTTGCTGTCTCCTAAATAGTAACTTTATATTTTCTTTAGCCTCACAAGTGTAGGTGGACAGTGGTTGATTCTCTTCATGGTCTGCTTTCCGTAGAAGGTGGTGCGTTTGGCTCGGTGCCTGTAGCTCAACCGGGGTGGCAGGTTCGAATCCCCAGCTCGGACCCGCCAAACAACAATGACGGCTGCAACCAAAAAATAGCCGGGTGTTGTGGCGGGCACCTGTGGTCCCAGCTACTTGGGAGGCAGAGGCAGGAGACTCGCTTGAGCCCAGGAGTTGGAGGCTGCTGTGAGCTGTAATGCCACGGCACTCTACCCAGGGGGACAGCTTGAGGCTCTGTCTCAAAAAAAAAAAAGAAGGTGGTGGGTTCCAGGATTTTACTCATGAATGATGTATCTAGGAGTCTATTCCCATAACTTTAATAGCTGTAGAAGAAGATAAGATAACAGAAAAGGCACCCTCCCAAATTGGGTTTGGGGAATGTGAATTAGAGGGGAGAGTTTTGGTCAGGACCAGATCTCCAGGAGAGAAAAGCTCCTGTAGTATTGAATGTGAAAATGTAGTTGGGAGGTTTTTAAGGATTTGTTGAAATTTAGCTAAAGAAGTAATATGTTTTACTAATTCTGTAGTTTTTTGATCTAATAATAAATTGTTAGTTAAAAAAGGTGTTCCATATAATAATTCGAATGAGCTACAGCAGTTTCTGAGGTAAATTTCTTATTCTAAGGAGAACAATGGAAATCAATTTAGTCCAAGGGAAATGAGTTTCTTGAGTTAGCTTTCATAACTGTCCTTTGATTTTATCATTCATTTTTTTCTACTTTTGTAGAGGATTGGGGTCTCTAAGAGCAGTGTAGATGATATTTTATGCCTAGGGCTTTAGATATTCCCTGTGTAACAGCTGCCTTGAAGGCCAGCCTATTATCACTTTGCAAACTTTGAGGGAGTCCAAACCTGCGGATAATCTCACGTACTAAAGACTTTACAACTTCCTGGGCCTTTTCTGTCCTGCAAGGGAATGCTTCAACCCAGGTAGTAAAAGTATCCACAAATACCAGCAAATATTGTATACCATGTACTTTAGGGAGGTGAGTGAAATCCATTTGCCAATCTTTACCTGGATATTTACCTTGTTTCTGTATACCTGGAGGAGTTAGATGGTGATTTGAAGGATTGTTTCTCTGACATACCTCACAAGTCCTTGTCATCTGTTTTATGGTTTTAAATAAGTTTTTTTCCATCAAAGAGAATTTTAGCCATTTGATAGGCACTTTCAGTGCCAAAATGAAAGGACTGATGCAAAGTTTTAAATATTTTCCATTGGCTTGCAGCAGGTAATAGCAAAAGTCCACTTCTATTTTGTAGCCAGCCTGATGGAAGTGGTGAATAGTCTCTGGATAAAGCCCATTCCTTTTCTTTTGGGGTATATTGAGGTGCATGATTCTCAAGTGACCCCTCCCAAATAAGGGGTGCCACAAGGGGAATTATTCCTTTCTGTGCTGCTATTTTGGCCTCTTTATCAGCAAGTTGGTTACCTTCAGAAATCTCATCTAAGGTCTTTTGGTGTCCCTCACAATGAATAACTGCTACTTCTTGTGGAGCATGAATGGCTTGTAACAACCTGTCTATTTCATGATGATATTTTATGGGAGAGCCATTGGAAGTTGCTATTGTCTTTCTTTCCAAATAGCAGCATGGGCATGTAAATTGAGGAAGGCATATTTTGAGTCAGGGTATATATTGACCCATTTGTTTCTCCCAATTTCTAAAGCACGGATTAAGGCTATTAACTCAGCTGATTGCGTACTGGTTCCTGGAGGGAGAGACCCACTCTCCATTACAGCGTACTGAGTACACCATAGCCTGCTTTTCGAGTTCCATGTTCTATGAAAGAACTTCCATCTGTATATAAAACCATGTCAGGATTAGATAGGGGGGTTTCTTGTAAGTCTTCTCTAGCTGCATAGATCTGTGCTATAATCTGTTGGCAATCATGCCCTATATCCTCATTGGATTCAGGGAGGAAAGTGGCAGGATTCAAAGCAGCATAGGAGCTTAATTGTAGCACTGGTCCTTCTAGTAATAAGGCTTGATATTTAAGAAGGCAACTATCTGATGGCCAAAGATTGCTTTTTGAATTTAAAAGTCCAGTAAGGTCATGAGAAGTGTAAATAATTAGATCTCTTCCTAAAGTTAGCTTGGTTACTTTTGGGGTTAAGCTGCTATGACCTGTAGACAGTGTGGCCATCCCTTGGCTATGGTGTCAATTTCTTTACTAAGATATGCTACAGGTTG